GTCATAATTGATTGATGTACGCCCGTGTACGACCGTAAATGATTGATCTGGGTGTATTTTCTTTGGTTTTTTAGTTGTACGCTTATAAAAAATATTCTTTAATTGTGATCAACCTTGTGCTGATGCACGCCAGTTCCAGTTCATCAGACTAAACTGTATTTGCTTAGTCGACGTTCGTTTATTTCACCAGAAGCTGATTGTCAAGTGTGCTAAATGCGGCTACTAGTTTATTTCGTATGAATTGAAGTTATTGGACATCTCATTTTAGTCTAACCACGTAAAATGAATACCTCAGTGACCCTGTTCATAAGAAAAAGAACTGACCATCAACTACAGTTGACATGAGTAAAGGTGATCATCAGCTCGAGTTCATCTGAGCTTCCGTTGATTGCCAACTCTTTTGCTCAGCCCTCACGAGTTATTGAGCTGACAATACCAAATACTTAATCATATAAAACAAGTTCTGACTGAAACTAGAAAACAGAACAAAATATAATGTTTATGAATAGCTTTGGTCATTATGGGAAATAAGGCTATGTTCGAGAAAAGTTCTTATTAAATGGGCTTCCAGTGGACTGCTGATCTTTTGCTTGGGCTGGACTGTGTTAAGAAAAGTTTTAAAGGCGCAACCATGGACTGAGTCGATCAGGATCGCGATAGACTAAGGGTCAGTTTTCTTCAGCCCAGCGCAGCCATTTCGGATCTGTAGTTCGCAATGCGAATGCACCGATTTCTTTATTTTAATTAATAAAATAAAATAATATTATTATAACAGTCATAAAATATAAACACAACGGCAAAAATGCATTTAACGTGACAAACATTAGCAACCCTCTTTGAATTTTTCTATCTAATCATTAGAATACAGTACGGGTATTAGTTTTTGCTTCGATGCCCTACTCGCATTAGTATCTTTCATACCCGTATCCTTCTTATCCGTTGCCTATTCGTATCCGTACCCTGATATAGGTGCGAGTGCCCAGCCGGTGAATTACAGTACTCTACTTAATACACCAATAATAGGCTATACCCATTTTTGAAAGAAATATAATGCATGTAGGTTGATTTTAAAATTTATATTGTAGATTTTTCTAAAGACAAGAGCTCTTTGACATTTTCAACTTGAAAATGTCACATAGAACTACGAAAACTCAGAAAACGACAACAGGAACATCATTACCACCGTCGAATCTTAAATCACAAACAACATTACCATCGAAAAGGTCTTCTCACAGCTTTAATCTGTTTTAACGATATATTCTAAAACTTATTCTTCTTAACAGTTTTAGGAAAGCTTCCGATGGAAACGATGCTGGTAAACAAAACAGACGCTCGCCTTCCAGAACCGTCATACGTAAGTGTCAGACTTGTTTGCTTAGTTTGCCAATGATTTGAGAGAAAAATATGAAATGAAGATGCTGCGTAACACATCTTTCAAGAAGTTTAGTTTTGAGTCTGGATACTACGTAGTACACATTATGCTTTAGAACGAGTTGGACATGCTCTTTTACGTCCTTTTCTTCCTTGTTGTGGATCTTCATCCGATGATAATTTGTCAGGTAATGCGTCTCGGAAATCAATAGATAGAAGTACCACTCAACTGACTAGCACAGTCAGAATTTCCAATACATCACTATCGAACGTGTCCCAACAAGGTTCGTAAAGTTACCGTTCTAGAAAGTCATCTCTTATATGTAATATTTTAATAGGCAGTACAAACAATAAGAATCTTGTGTCATCAGTGAATACAAGAACAATAGTTGGAAAGACAGTCGTCCAAACTAATGCTCAACTCTCGACTACTCGTTCATCATCCATACAATCACTGTCGAAAGTACCACAGATCGATGTCAGTAATCTTCCAATTGAAACTAATTTTCCTCGGATATTATGGGCAGATCCTAGAAATGTACGTAACAATCATAAGAGAAAACAACAAACAAATGTTTCATCTAAAGTGTCAACAACAAATGCAATAGAAGAGAGTGACAAGTTACCCACAATTCTTTTAAAGTCGACAGTCGAAATTCCAGCTAAAGATTTGAACAGCATTGATAGACATGAACAAATGGTTCACAATGTGCAGTTACCAGAACCACCTCAGTTGGAAAATGATACCATTCCTCTCAACCATTCTGTAGTTATACCAGATAATGACAAATCAAAAGAGGTGATTGTTGAACCGACTGATACGACTAATAAGATAAACGTTAAAGGCAATGATAGAAAAATATCAAAGACTAAAAAGCCTTCTGATCTACATCGAGGTTTATGTGGGTTAGAAAACTTGGGTAACACATGTTTTATGAACAGTGCTTTACAATGTCTTTCAAATGTATCAGAATTAACTGAATATATACTTAAGAATAACGGTTTTCCTAATGATATTATAAACATTGCCAATCCATTAGGAAGTGGTGGAAAAGTTGCACGAAGTTACGGCGATTTAATATTGAAACTATGGTCAGGAGACCATAAATCAGTAGCACCAGACATTCTAAAACTTGACATTAGTAAAATGGCAACACGTTTTGCTGGCTATAATCAAGAAGATTCATATGAATTGATGAACATTTTATTAGGTACATTACATGAAGATTTAATACGGGAGGATGAGTGTGATGATGACCCTGACAAAGAACCTTCTTCACTCATATCAGATTATTTTCATTTTGAACTACAATCAACTATTGTATGTCTGCAATGCAAAAAAATATCTAAATCATGTGAACCAATGAGTTTTCTCGCTCTATCGTTGCCATCGTCAAATGCAACGACCAGAAAAAACTCTAATGGTTCAAATCATCCTAGTAAAGTTCTGAAACAATCTTTATCGATATTCGATTGCTTAAGCGATCTTTTGCAAGAAACAAATTTAATCGGTGAAAATGGTGAATGTTGTTGGTACTGTTCAGAATGTAATGAACTGACTCAGGCTAAGAAAACACTTGATTTATGGTCACTTCCACCAGTGTTAATTATACAACTGAAACGTTTTAACTATAACCCAAAATCAACCTATAACAACAATAAGATCTATACACATGTTGATTATCCAACTGAAGATTTAACTCTCCAAAGTCAAAAGGAAAACAAAACTGTTCATTACGATTTGATCGCTGTTTCTAATCATAGTGGTACCTTACATGGTGGACACTATACGGCCTATGCAAGAAATATGGATGATCATCGTTGGTATTTGTTTAACGATATATTCATTTCACAGGTTACCAATAAAAAGCAAATTGTTAACAGTGATGCATATATACTTATCTATCATCGAAAATCATGAAAATATATGCATCAAGTATCCGTGAGTTAAATAGAACTGGGTTTTTTTTTCTTTGTGAAATCACATCATCATTCATCTTAATAGAAATTTGAAAAATATAAAATATCAGGAATCATTTTTTATTCTTTTAATTTTGCTTTTACATCGTATAAGGCGGATTCTCACAGAAAGTTACCTTCTTTCGATATATTTTTGAACGATACACAGATAGAACGTAATCTTTTGAGACATATGAGCATCAAGTTTCAGAGCCGGACAAGTAATTCCTTTACAACAACAGATTACAAACGGGCTGCTCAAACAAGAGAAGACATTGTGATCTGATTCGATGCACCTGTTCTTTTACTGCCTACTGATTTGCTTCAGAAGTATAATTTTCGGGTGCTTGTCCCATAAAGGCTTCTTCTCCCTGACTCTGATACCTTAATCTAATTTTGGAAAGTATTTTCAGATTTGGAGTTTTACCTAAAAACAATTAAAAAACTACTATATGCTTTAAATTACCTTCTATTTATTTAGTTTTTAGATTACAATTCTATTTATTGTATTCTACTGTCATCAAATGTATCATAATAACTCTTCGGACAATGACCCGTACGAAGAATGTGGGCTCTATCGTTTTTCAAGTAATAGTGGCCTTGGCAAATGTGGTTCGCACGATGGTGATTATAGGCTATATAAAAAAACAGATTTAGAAGTTCGTCCAGTACAGATTGATGGACCGTCACTTTCTGAATATGAATTAATTTGCAGTCGTTATCCATTAGTGTATATCAATGATATTTCTGCTATTTGTCCAAAACATCGAAGCATGTTATGTGAAAATTACAATCCAATTGAAAAATGTATTGCTTGTGATAAAAAAATTGATCCTCATTATAGCAAACGTTGTGGCATAGTAGCGTCCAGATTTTTAAAACAAATCAATCGTCGTAAAACACCAATAGGTAATGCAGAACTTGTATTTTCTTCTCTCACTGATACGAAGATCAATAGAGAGATTTGAGAAACTCTCTTAAATCTATAATTTGGATAACGACTATTACGACTTGGCCAAGAAACGCTCTCCTGCAAATCAGAAGATTTGAAAAAATTTTTTACCAAAAAAAGAGATTGTTAAGTACACCATCTGGTGCAGTGTTTGACGCTGATTTCGAATATTAACGTCACATTTCGAAAAACTCAATTTTTATTTTTCAATTTCTGATCCAAAAAATGTTCGCTAAAAAAATCAAGAAGTATGCCATATATTAGAGAATTGAATTTTGTACAAAATGACTTATTTACATTACAGCTTTGGTACTTTCTCCGAATTTTCGTTCTTTGAAAAACTGGTTTTTCTTTAAGATGGATTTTTCGAAGTCAGCATGATTAAAAAAATCTTTTATATAATGCATCGGAAGGACCAGATTGAGTGCTATCTATTGAAATAAAACATATTTTCTCTGACCTCCGTCATAAAATACTTTAATCTTCTTATTTGAAACGGCCAAAAAAAGATGAAATTCTGTAACGGAGCCAATTTTCATTTTTTTTATTCAATCCATTGATCCTATTTGAAACTAAGTACATATACTGGAAGCCAATTTAAAACAGCACAACTTTTCATTAGAACATATTTTTGTGAGTGTTCATTTTTGAGAACAGCACAACAGTTTGAATACTCTTTAAACGAATTTCACTTTTTGAAATTCTATGACGGTCTCTATTTTGCTTATAACTAGAGATGTAAGCCGTCAGCAGATTTTTTGCTGAAGCCGACGACTGGCAGCCGATCTTTTTGCTAGAGCCGACGTATTTTCAAGCCGACGGCTTACACCTCTACTTATAACTCATGGCTGGATGGATCAAATCAGATGACTTTTTTGTTGGTGGTAGAATTGCAGGATGTCTATTTACTGTAAAAGTCTCAGAACATTTGCTTTCGTCATTCAAAATCTATTTGTCTTAGAAGGCGAAACCATGAAATTCGATGACAATTAGCATAGTCCATTATTTTCTTTTAACTCTTGAATTTCTCACATATTCCATATCTCAAATAAATAGCCACAGTAATTGTATATTTTTTATAGGTGGATATATTTGCCGAAGCTGTCAACATTACCATGAGCCAATGATATCGCAATACAAACACAGTATAGTTAATTCCGATACACATTGGGAAGCAACTGACCACCAAGTGGCATTGCCATCTTCACTTGTTGTCGAATCTCTACCGACTTCAGTAAAAATCATGGCTACAATAAAACAACAGCCAACTGATGCATCGGCTATAGATCAAAAGTATTGCCATAAAATGTCAACGGATTATGATACTCAATCGATTTCAGCAACGAACTCGTTAGCCACTGATCAGGACAAATTAAAATTTACTCGTACAACTGCAAATTCCGAACCATCTTCTGCATCGAAAACCGATCAACATGACACTTTAATTTCCACTGAGAAGCCATCGTTACAATCGCAAAAGATATCACCTTCGGATATTTTATTACATATTTATGATTTTTCATCGAATACTTTTCACCTGAGATCAGTTAAACCAGAGACAACTCTAAGACAAATAAAAACTGAAATGTCTCGTTTCTCAAATTCACCGCAAATACAACTAATAATTTTCAATGTACGTAAACATATAAAAGTATCAGATAACGATCTTTATAAAAGAATTGGCGATTTAGATGTTAAAGATAATGATATGATTAGTTATGATCTGGTAACAAAAAATGAGCCGTCTTATTCTTCCACCCGTTCCTTTGATACATATTCTGATCGTTTGATCATGACACCAGAGCCAGGTCTCCGTGGTTTAGAAAATACCGGTAATAAATGTTTTATGAATAGTGCATTGCAATGTTTAAGTAATATACCGCCATTAACTCAAAAATTTCTTGAAATCTATCAAGCACAACAGCAGGCACATCAAGATCGTCGTAATGCAGGAACAAATAAAAACAAGAAGAAAGATGAAAAAGAAACAATTGTAACGATATACGCAAATTTTATTTCAGACTTGTGGTCTGGTGAACATCGATCATTAGAATACCCAAGAGCATTAAATGATTTTATTTCTAAGATTGCACCAAGATTTGCTAGCTGGAGGCAACAAGACTCATTTGAATTTATGTCTATCTTATTAGATGAATTGCACGAAGCATTCAATGATGGTGGTAATATAGACAGAAAAATAGATGTTGATGAAAATGCTGATGACGATGACGATGGCGATCATATTTCTATTATCTCGGAACTTTTTTATTCCGTAATTAAAACATACGTCCGTTGCCTTGAATGTCAAAAGATTAGCGAGACGAAAGAGTCACTTCGTTTTTTATCATTTCCCATAACAGAAAATTCGAATCGAAAATCACTTTCTCTCACAGATTGTCTTGAAAACTTTACAGCTATCGAAACATTTGACGATAAAAACGCAAAATGGTATTGTTCACAATGTAACAAGTTAACCAAGGCAAAAAAGCAAGTCAAATTATTTACATTGCCAAAAATACTTCTAATTCAACTCAAAAGATTTAACTATGATCCACGATCACCTCACAATAACTGCAAAATTGAAACAATGGTTACATATCCACTAAAATGTATGAATCTAAATGCTTATTTAACTGAAGATAGAAATCATGATCATAAAGATATTTATTATGATTTAATCTGTGTTTCAAAACATATGGGAAGTCTTCGTGGTGGTCATTATGTTACATATGCAAAAAATGTTGAAAAGGAAAAATGGTACTGTTTCGATGATCGATGGGTCAATGAAATTGATGAAGAAACAGTTGTTACAAGAGATGCTTATATCCTAGTTTATGCCCAACGGAAATTAAATTGATTATACTCATTCAATCTAACTTTTTCTAAGACAGATTTTTTATCAGTTGGTTTTTTAATATATATTCTTGAACATTCACCTGAGCATCAATGTCATTGAATACCAAGAGTGATTGCAGTTAAAAGGTAAAAATATTTGCAACTGTTGTTATGGCAGGCTTTGTTATTCAATTCTTTCAAGCCAAAAGTGTGACTTTGAAAAATCCTAAACAACTAGTACAAAAATCGATACCGTTGGTTTGCTCCTTATCTAAGGAATCGATTTTGATCTAATTAATGTTGCTGATCGCAAAATATGGTGGGAACACTGTTAAAAAACTTTGCTGAACGAATATGTTTCAGAAAGCTTTCGCACATTCAAACCTTCGTACTTTAAGAAAACGGATTTTTCTTGATGTTTCTTCGGTGTAAAAGAAAAACAGCAATAACATCAAGTGATGTTTTATTGTCTGATCAGTTTTCCCAAAAAACTTGTCAGTGCGGCCCCAAGAGGGGCCGAAATGTGGAACTCACAAACTCTGAGCGTTATAAATTTAATATATATTGTCAGAGGTTTTAAAATAAGTTACTAAAAAAATACTAAATAGATGAATAAATCAGAATTATAACAATTTTTATAGCTGATACGCGCGCTCTGAAAGTTTATTTTGTTGAAACTGTTCATATTTATTACTTTTCTATCAGATTATTTGATTCATTTAACATCGTTATTAGGGTCTGGGTGGTTCACCCTACTTCTTTATTTTAATACCGTACTGACTAACTGAAAAATGTACGCATACACACACATATATATATGTTTTAGACAAAATTGGAATTCAGGCAAATTCTAAATTTGCCTAGGCAAAGTTGGAATTCTAATTTTGACTGGGTAAAATTAGAATTCTAATATTGACTAAACACTCATCAGTCATAACTAGAATTCCAATTTTGCCTAGGCACATTTAGAATTTGACTGGAGATAAATTCACGCAATCAAAAACAGCAAAAAGGTGAAAAATTATATTTTTTTTATTAAATGATATCTTTTCATTCCATTGAACAATTTACAAGAAAAAAAGTTTTAATCTATTCACCCATATTTGCACACCCACCTCGTTTTGAATGACATTTTGTCGAACAAAAAACTCCCATTTTTTTACACGAAGATTGTTTTGTAGAGCACTTGCCTTTACAATCGCAAGTGCGACCGGTTGTTGATGTACGTACGTAAAGTTTACATGCTTCAATAAATGTGATGCCCTTTAAATTGTTAATAACAATTTGTTTTAATTCGTCTGGACAAGCCAGTTTTAAATCAAGAAGATGTTCAATTGAATAAGTATTTTCCAATTTACCATATTGACAAACCAATTTACACGTAACGTT